CTTTCTGAAATTTTTTGGCATCAGGTAGGCATTGAGTAGATTAGGTGTTCCCAAAATATTTTTATTCAGGAGGCTCGAGTTTAAACAAAAACAAGAACAAAAAAGCCTTTTGGAGCTAGCCTTGTGGCTCAGTGCGTTAAGCTGATACTGGCATTCTACACTGAAGTTCTAGCTTAGTTCTGGTTGCTTTACTTCCAATCCAGCTTCCTGCTAAAGAACCAGGGAAGGCAGTGGATGATGGCCGAAATGCTTGGACTCCTGCCACCCACTCAGGTGAGACCCAGGTGGAGTTTCAGTCTCCTGGCTGTTGCAGAGCCCAGCCCTGGCTGGAAGTGAGTCAGAGAACAAAGGATCTCCTCTGTAACTCTGCCTTCTAAATAATTTGCTAAATACCTAGAGCAAAGCAAGCAAGCAAACAAAAAAATCCTTACAAGGCTTACTACACATTCAGAGAAGTGCAAATAAAAACGTTTCTTTCATTTTCACAAGTGTTATATTCCTGCAACCAATTTTCCTAAGAAAGAATGCAACTGGAGCCTTAGAAATTATGCTGGGTGTCCCGTTTTAATCAGTCATATGTGATACCCGTGGATTTGGTATGACTGAGACTACGTATTTATAAACCCCTTATTATACTCGTATCTATTTTCTATTAGTCTTCCTCACAAACCCCTGAGGAAGTATGCATCCTGACTTCACTATATATATACTCTCTCTCTACATATATATATATATATATATATATATATTTTTTTTTTTTTTTTGGTAAATGAACGCACAGAAACATATCGGAAAAAACCGTGTCAGTACCAACCTATCAAAACTAGCTAGTGACACTACATTCTAAGAATCTGTTCAAGCACTCTTTCACCTTAGGTTCAGGAGTCCTCTTAAATATGCAACATGGCCGCTTCGCCAGGCTCTAACATGGCTGCCACCACCTCACCGGGTCCGGAACGTATCTGCCATCCTAGCAACCCCTAATGCGACTCTCCTTACTGCTGAGGAGCAGCGGCGAAACCGGAAGTGACTTTTCTGCCTTGCGCCGCTCCCGCATCCTTTCCGGGTAGTCTTCTGGTGGCCGCGGGATACCTGGACAGCTCCGGTAGCTGGGCTTGGGAGGTGCAAGTCTGTCGCGGCCGATCCGAGACGGGCCCGCGCCGGGGAGACGGCGGAGACGAGGATGTCGGACACGTGGAGCTCTATCCAAGCCCACAAGAAGCAGCTGGACTCGCTGCGGGAGAGGCTGCAGCGGAGGCGGAAGCAAGACTCGGGGCACTTGGGTGAGGCTCAGGCGGGGTGGGCAGGTCCGGGTCGCCGTCCTTTCCGCGGGTGGCAAGCGTCTCCTCAGTATCAGGGACCTTCACCCTCCACGGAGTCAGTTCGCGGCTTTGCAGCGCGCGGACGCCGGATCCCTGTCCGCGTCCCCACGATCGGCGACGTCCCCAACGTCGCCTCCGAGCGGCCCCTGCAGCCTCGCCCTGCGACCCTCAGCTTCCTCGCCGCTAGGGCGCCTTGTTCTTTTACCCTTCGTCTTAGCGATTGCTGTCTCCTTGTGCTTTGTTGAACCGTGTGCGATACAGGGAGCTAGGACTGAAACCTGGACCACAGATGACTTCAGGGGAAAGGGGGCGTGGGACGCATGGACTCAGCTGCTTACAAACTTACGAACACATTAAAAACATGGGTTTAGTTTTAAAACTGTTCCTTCATGTTATCCCTCCCCAACTCCGTCGTACCATACCCCTTGTAAGAACTTCTTAAAAGATTATCAGATTTCATCCTGCCCGCCAGCGCCCCGAATTCTGGGAGGATAGTGAATATTACTCTTGTACCAGCTTTTGCCAGTGTTCATCAGAATCACAGGCTGCCGCTGCAAATCCTGTCCTGCTCTCATCGCTTTCTGTTGCCTGGGAAGATAGGCTAGCGGGCTCCTCACACCATAACTTACTATCTTTCATGTTAATAAGTCTAGTTAAACTTGGATAACTGCGACATTGTCCCAGCCCCTCCAGAAGTATAGAATATAGCTGGCTATCAAGGATACATGTTAGAAATAGTGTAAGATAGCAAGTGATAGAATTGACAATGCAATGAAGAGAGAGCAAAGAGTTTGTGTAGTCAGTGAAATCGTCATAGAGGGCTTGGCAGTTAACTTTGGCCTTCACTGCTGTTAGTAATTTTTGAACTGACGGCAGGATAGGGAAGAAAAAAATGTCCTTTGATCACAGAGTAAATTAATAGTTGAGCATTGCATAGTTTGAATTACCCAAGGGGGAGAATTGTTTTGTTGCTGTATAAAATTCAACTCCTTTGGCCTGGCACAGTAGCCTGGCGGCTAATGGCCTCCCCTTGAATGTGCCAGGATCTCATATGGGCACTGGTTCTAATCAGGGTGGCCCTGCTGCCCATCCAGCTCCCTGCTTGTGGCCTGGGAAAGCAGTCAAGGATGGCCCGAAGACTTGGGACCCTGCACCCACATGGGAGACCTGGAAGAGACTCCGGGCTCCTGGCTTCAGATTGGCTCAGCTTGGGAAGTGAATCAGGGGATGGAAGATCTTCTCTGTCAGATATACAGAGAGGAGGAGAGACAGAGAAGAAGATCTTCCATCCCCTGATTCACTCCCCAAGTGAGCGCAACGGCCAATACTGTGCCTGTCCGAAGGCAAGATCCAGGAACTTCCTCCTCCAGGTCTCCCACACAGGTGCAGGGTCCCAAAGCTTTGGCCTGTCCTCGACTGCTTTCCCTGGCCACAAGCAGGGAGCTGGATGGGAAGTAGAGCTGCCAGGATTAGAACCTGTGCCCATATGGGATACCGGCGCGTTCAAGACAAGGACTTTAGCCATTAGGCCACGCTGCCGGTCCCAAAAATACATAAATCTTTAAAAAAAAAATTAACTCCTGTGGCATTTTGCAGATTCAGCTTTTGTTTTTGTTTCCTATTTAATTTCCTCTGTTTCTTTTTATGAATATGGGTTTTGGCTGGTGTAACAATTACACCTTTATCATAAACAGTGGCTCCTAAATTATCACTGACTCCAGTTACTTGAAGTTATCTTTCTTTTTTTTGTAAGACTCAGTTTAAACATATATGTATGTATATATATGTATATATTTATTTATTTATTTATATTTGAAATGCAGAGCCACAGAGAATGGAGAAAGAGATAGAAGATGCTTTCCATCCTGAATAACTGCAATGGCCAGGGGTGGACCAGGCTGCAGCCAGGAGACAAGAGCTTCTGTGGGGTCTCCACTTGGGTGCTAGGGCCCAAGCATGTGGGCCATCTTCTGCTGCTTTCCCATGGGCATTAGCAGGGAGCTACATCAGAAGTGGAGAGGCTGGGAATAGAACTGGAGCACTAGAGGCAGCAGCTGTTCCGTAACAGCGCAGCATTGAATATACTCCTTGTATTTCTAACAGATTTTTAGCTGAGAGAGGCATGTAAAACTCATCTAGACTTCCTTCCTTTCTTTCTTTGAAGAATTTTTTTTTGCTGTATCTCTCCTCTCTCTGTAAAACCTGCCTTTCTAATAAAATATATATATATATATATAAGATTTCCTTTTATTGGAAAGGCAGACATGGAGAAAGAGAGGAAAGATCTTTGGTCCCAAGTGGCTGCAATGGTCGATCAGGAGCCAGGAGCTTCTTCCCCATGTTCCATGCAGCTACAGGGTCCCAAGGATTTTGGTTGTCCTCAACTGCTTTCCCAGGCTACAAGCAGAGAGCTGGATAGGAAGCGGGGCCACCCGGGACACAAACCCACATGGGATCCTGACACATGCAAGGCAAGGATTTAGCCACTCTGTGTCTCTCCTTCTCTCTGTAAATCTGACTTTCCAATAAAAAATAAGCCTTACCAAAAAATAAAAAATGATTTGGCAAATCATAAAGGAATCATTAGTAAAGAAAGTTCTATCAGTTCCTTAGTATTTCCTGCTAGTCTAGAATTGTGTAGTCTATATTCTAAACAGGATGTGAGTATTTTTGTATTACTGTTTTCATGAAATATTCTAGCAAAAATGATTGGAGTAGTTCAGCTCCATTTTCTTAGGAACTGGAGTCAGATTTTGCTGATTCAGCTAATAAAGTGCAAATTGCTAAGGAACCATAATATTTATAATATTTCTAATTGTAAAACAAATCAGCATGTATGTTATGATTTTACGTTGCAGAATTCCACTGCAGGTTTTAAGGAGCTTAATTTAATATCTGTATTTAAACTAGGAAAGTAGATACAAGGCTTGCTCAAAGGTGACGTTTTGTTCTGAATGTCTTAAATATTATTAAGGTTGTGAAGGGACCCAGCTTGTAAACAGAGTAGATGTTAAAAATGTAGTAGAAAATGGGCCCTGTATACTAGCCTAGCAGCTAAAAGTTCTCACCTTGCATGCACTGGGAGCCCATATGGGTGCTGGTTCTACTCCCAGCAGCCCCACTTCCCATCCACCTCCCTGTTTGTCTGGGAAAGCAGTCAAGGACGGCCCAAAACCTTGTGACCCTGCATCCGCGTTAGAGATCTGGAAGAGCTCCTGGCTTCTGGCTTTGGATTGGCTCAGCTCTTGTCGTTGCAGTCACTTGGGGAGTGTAACATTGAATGGAAGGGCCCGGCGCGGTGGCGCAAGTGGTTAAAGGTCCTCGCCTTGCACACCCGGGATCCCATATGGGCGCCGGTTCTAATCCCGGCAGCCCTGTTTCCCTTCCAGCTCCCTGCCTGTGGCCCGGGAAGGCAGTGGAGGACGGCCCAAAGCTTTGGGACCCTGCACCTGCGTGGGAGACCCAGAAGAGGCTCCTGGCTTCGGATCGGCATAGTATCGGCCGTTGCGCTCACTTGGGGAGTGAATCATCGGACGGAAGATCTTCTTCTCTGTCTCTCCTCTCCGTATATCCGCCTTTCCAATAAAAAATAATAAAAATAAATCTTTAAAAAAAAAACATTGAATGGAAGATCTTCCTTTCTGTCTCTCCTCTTTATATATCTGACTTTCCAATTAAAAATAAAAGATAAATCTTTAAAACGAAGTGTAGTAGAGAACATCACGTGGTGACCAAAGCTTCAGCAAGCTGCATGACTTGTGTTTATGAGCATCAAAGGTCATATATTTCTGCCTCAACACTGTCATTTTGTAGATTGGCTTGTGTTATTCTTGAGAATTCAAATCTAATGCCTGAGAAAGAATCTTATTCCAGCTTAGATTGTTGAAAAATATTTTTGGCTTTTATTAATATGTAGGTTGATGATATCACCTAAGAGTGAGTGAAAGGAAGTGATGAAGACATTTACATATGATATGCTAATTTATTTCCTTTGAAACACAGCACAGAAAAGGCATTAGGACACACCTAACATCTAGAGGCAGAGGTAGGTAGGTGGTGCTCAGAAAGCCCTGGATTAATTTAGCAAAGCAGTGAATGCTTGAGTTTGATTGAAGAAAGAGAATCTAGTGCTGAATTTCATCACAGAATTTCCTCCACTAAATGGAAGATGCATACACTGCAAATGCTAGAGTATTTGACTCTGGAGGAATGTGTAAACCAACAGTGATTGCCCATTTTGATTTTCACTTCTCTTTACTCTTAGATTTAAGGAATCCAGAGGCAGCTCTGTCCCCAACCTTCCGTAGTGACAGCCCAGTGCCTGCTGCACTCACTTCTGGTGGCCCCAAGCCCAGCACAGCTTCAGCAATTCCTGAATTAGCTACAGATCCTGAATTAGAGAAGAAATTGCTGCATCATCTTTCTGATCTGACCTTAACACTGCCCACTGATGCTGTATCCATCCGTCTTGCCATCTCCACGGTAATGCCTGGGTAGAATAGGGATCTGCTGCTTACATTCAGGTTATGGTAAGTTTCATATTGCTTTATTCTTCCCTTGTTTTGTAGCCAGATGCCCCTGCCACTCAAGATGGCGTGGAAAGCCTCCTCCAGAAGTTTGCAGCTCAGGAGTTGATTGAGGTCAAGCGAGGTCTCCTGCAAGATGATGCGCATCCCACTCTTGTGACCTATGCCGACCATTCCAAGCTCTCTGCCATGATGGGTGCTGTGGCAGAAAAGAAAGGCCCTGGGGAGGGAGCGGGGACTATTGCAGGGCAGAAGCGGCGTGCAGAGCAGGACTCCGCAGCAGCAGCTCCCTTTGCTAGCTCTCTAACCTCTGGACTGGCCTCTTCAGCATCAGAACAAGTCAAGGAGCCAGCCAAGAAGTCAAGGAAACATGCCGCCTCGGATGTTGATCTGGAGATAGAGAGTCTTCTGAACCAACAGTCTACAAAGGAACAACAGAGCAAGAAGGTAGGGGTCCCATGGAAATACTCTCACAGCATGCTCTGAATTAGAACTTTGATTGAGAAGGATGTGCCCTTAATGTAAGCTGTTTGAGTTGAGGGTTTAGAGCAGTAGTTCCTAAGTGGGAATGGTTTTGCATTACCCCCATACTCCACCAAGGACTCTGGCAATTAGGACACATTTTTTGAATGTTACATGAGGGAATGCTACTTGTATCTAGCAGCTCAGAACAGGACTGCTGATATTTATGCTACTACATTGTATAATAATAAAGCAACTTCTCTCCCTGCCATTCCACCCTGCCCCTCCCCGTCTCAGGTCTCAGGAAGTGTCTATCCCCAAATCAAAATGGCAGTAACGCCAATATTGAGAGACCCTGACTTAGAGGAACTCTAACTGAATTTGGAATAATGCTCAGATCAGGATAATACAAATGCAGAAATACAGGGCAATGAATTTAGAGGAATACTGAAGACAGTCATATGGATTGGCAGTCATAGGAATTGATGACTAAACAGTGTGAATTAACCTTCCAGTGGTTCCAACTCTTGGACCCACATGAGTTTACTTCCTTTTGCCACTTTTTGTTGTGAGCTTAAATGGGTTACCTTCTCATCTGTAATGGGAGGATAATCAGAGTGCCCCCAATTCCCCTTATAGAATTATAAAGATAAATAGAGTGTTAGCAGTTTGCTTGGCTTAGTATCCAATAAAAAATGAGTGGTTTTCTGGGAAGGAATTTAACAGTAAGCAACTAGTCTTAGGAATTAATTTCCAAACCAAAGCATATTTGATCTGGAGAGAAATCTGAAAGGGCTCCAGTTTTTCCATACCGTTAGTTCATATAAACAGAATTTATGGAGATTACGAAATAATTTGATCTACACACCCTTTTAAGACCAGGGTTTGTTTCTGTCACAGGTCAGTCAGGAGATCCTAGAGCTATTAAATACTACAACAGCCAAGGAACAGTCCATTGTTGAAAAATTTCGCTCGCGAGGTCGGGCACAAGTGCAGGAATTCTGTGACTATGGAACCAAGGAGGAGTGCATGAAAGCCAGTGATGCCGATCGACCCTGTCGCAAGCTGCACTTCAGGTCTCTTGGGAAGGAATGAAGTGGGATGGGTTTCTGAGAAGCAGTCATTCCTTTTCAGTGTATTCATTCTACTAACTGGGGGCCCTCTCCTTAATCTTATCAATTCATGTGTTGTCTGAGTCCTCCAGTCTTTAAAGACATACTTTAGGCATACTTTTAGAAGTGGCATTGTGTGAAGCATTTAGGCTGTTCTCCCAGAGATGGAAGATTTCCTAAAGTGTCCCCTTTTTGTAGTAACAAGGCATGTGGATCTGAACCACAATGAAACTTTAAGGTTCTCTGGGAGGATCTTAACATAAACAGAGATTGAAGCCTACTGGATCTGTATTTCATTCTGCCCTAGCCAATCAAGTCCTCCTGTATAGAATTCCTTTCTGTGGTGTGGTAGCCATGTCTTTGCTTAGAGAGGAATTTGAATTATTTAGTGTGGATTATCCATGTCATCTGCCTCCCTTCTTGTAAAACTATTGGCGGAAGCTCTAATGAGAGAAAATGAAGGGTAATAAAAGGACACTTTGAAACCATTTGGAACTTGTACTGTGGGACATTCTCCTAAAGTACCATCTTGATTCTAATCGTCTCTTTTCATTTCCCCAGGCGAATTATCAATAAGCACACTGATGAGTCCTTAGGTGATTGTTCTTTCCTGAACACATGTTTCCACATGGATACCTGCAAATATGTTCACTATGAAATTGATGCTTGCATGGATTCTGAGGCTCCTGGTAGCAAAGACCATACTCCAAGCCAGGAACTTGCTCTTACACAGAGTGTTGGCGGTGACTCTAATGCAGACCGACTCTTCCCTCCTCAGGTACCTGAGAAAACTCTTCCTACACTTACTTCTGAGTAAGGCAGCCATACATGTAGGAAAGCAGGTGTAATCCAGCAGTCTTTATTGCTGATTGGGAATGGAGTGGGAAGAGATAGGCTTAATAAGGGAGCAGGAGAATGAAATGCAAATGAGGGACTGGGGCCATGAATCTGAACGTGAAGGAAGGAAAGATGACCAAATACCACCTCATGCAGTGGATCTGTTGTGATATCCGCTACCTGGACGTCAGTATCTTGGGCAAGTTTGCAGTTGTGATGGCTGACCCACCCTGGGATATTCACATGGAGCTGCCCTATGGGACCCTGACAGATGATGAGATGCGCAGGCTCAACATACCAGTACTGCAGGATGATGGCTTTCTCTTCCTCTGGGTCACAGGCAGGTAATGCAGTTCAAAGATACGTAGGTATGGGCAGAGTTATAGGAACCTTCCAAAAGTTCATGGAAAATGGAATTAAGAGGTTTCATAATACACATTTCCACGAACTTTCTGAAGACCATTTGTAATGGTGGAAGCCCTGGGCGGGAGATAAAATCCTGGGTTTTCCTAGCTCCTATGAATGTATGACTCAGCCTTTTCTCCCTCCCTCCTGAGCCCCAGTGCCTGTTTATAACACACATGATACTGTGAATTATATTTAACTCTTCATTTGCTCATTGAAAAAAGGGTAGGTCACTGAGACTGTTTTATCTTTTCAATCTTAGTTATACCCCATTGCCCTTATCCTGTCCTGCATGTCAGTGTTTATTGAAAAGATGATTCTAACAAAGCACATCTTTTGAGAGGAAAAAGAGTATCAGCAAACAAGTAACTGTTTATTCCTTACCTCTTCTTAGGGCCATGGAATTGGGCAGAGAATGTCTGAATCTCTGGGGGTGAGTAGCAATTGCTTTCTTTTGAGCGAAATTCTGAATTTTCATAGGCCTAATATTTACACAGGGATATTTCAATGGTACTGCTCCAAAACTGAAGACCTGGCTAAAATTCTAGTTCTCTTTTTCACGCTTCAGATATGAACGGGTAGATGAAATTATCTGGGTGAAGACAAATCAATTGCAACGAATCATTCGGACAGGCCGTACTGGTCACTGGTTGAACCATGGGAAAGAACATTGCTTGGTGAGCAGAAGTGGGGCCCAGGTTGGTGGGTGGAGCATAAAAGGAATAGTTTGATTTCTAATGTCAAAGGCTGCTGTTTCATAAGGTCACTTGTTCTCTGTGGTGAGCAGGTTGGTGTCAAAGGAAATCCCCAAGGCTTCAACCAGGGTCTAGACTGTGATGTGATCGTAGCTGAGGTATGTGCTTCCTTGGGCATCAACATTTTCATTGGTGTCAGTTATTTTGTGTTAAGTATATTCTCATCTGTTCTCAGTTGGATCACAGAGATAGTGGGAGAGGCTAGAAGTACAATCTTTTATAAATGGTAGCTAGAATCTTTATTTCCTCCCAGGTTCGTTCCACTAGTCACAAACCAGATGAAATCTATGGCATGATCGAGAGACTCTCCCCAGGCACTCGCAAGATTGAGTTGTTTGGACGACCACATAATGTGCAACCCAACTGGTAAGATGACTGTAGAAGAGGCTATCCCCAAGGTGAAAACTACTTATACCCAAGGGTGAAGTGTATGGGGCATCATCTCATATCCCATTAGTCAGTAAATGAGTTTCAGAGGAATAACAAGCTGATTAAACTTGTATTTAAGCTTTTATGAAATTCTACGTTCAGTGGAAACTTGCTAAGTTCTAGGTCCAGAACTGGCTTTGTAGGGTTTCTGCTTCTTAAAAATTTAAGGATCATTCTCAGCCATTCTGTGGGATGTACTGAACCTGCCCCCTGGTGGTTACTAAGTATGTACTCACTTTGTCAAAAATTTTAGTATTTTATCCCTTAAAACACTTGCCAATAGCATTTTACTCACTGAAATAGGCAAGGCGAGGCATCAGTTACTGACCCTTAGGTAATAAAGATCCAGCCTGCTAGCACCAAAGATCTGTGCCAATTCTTACCAGTGAAGGATTAACCAATTTGGGCTGTCACACCAGGCCATACATACTATTCTGACATTAAGAACTTTTGGTAAGAACTGGGACAGTAGGCAATCTTTTTTTTTTTTTTCTTAATATTTATTTTTATTGGAAAGTCAGATATATGGAGAGGAGGGAAGACAGACAGGAACATTTTCCATCTGTTGATTCACTCCCCAGGTGGCCGCAACAGTAACAGCTGGTTCTGAGCCAATCCAAAGCCAGGAACCTCTTCTAAGTCTCCCACGCGGGTGCAGGGTCTCAAGGCTTTGGCCGTCTTCAACTGCTTTCCCAGGCCACAAGCAGGGAGCTGGATGGGAAGCAGGGCCACCAGGACATGAACTGGCACCCATATGGGATCTCAGTGTGTGCAAGGCGAGGACTTAGCCACTAGGCTGCTGTGCTGTGCCCAACAACAGGCAATCTTAATAAAAGGTACACATCTTTAATTCCGTGATTTCTGATTTGCACCTCCCCCTTTCCCTTTAGGATTACACTTGGAAACCAACTGGATGGGATCCACCTACTAGATCCAGATGTGGTTGCACGGTTCAAACAAAGGTATCCAGATGGTATCATCTCTAAACCTAAGAATTTGTAGAAGCACTTCATTTCAGAGCTTATTGTCCACAGCCATGGCTCTGCAGACTATTTCTGAATAGTATTTGTACAATAGCTTTTTTGCTTATTTAAATAAAAATTTGTATTTTAATTAGATTTTTGAGATCAAATTCTGGTTCTGCCGCATAGCAGTGTGTGATGTTGTGTATTTCATCCCAACATGATTACTTATGTGAAATGGGATTATTAACTATCTCATTGGGTTGTGAAAGTTCAAACTCAGTGAATACATGAAAGGCATTAAAATGCCAACTACTGCAAACAGAGCCATACAGGATCAAAGTGTTTAGCAATTAGTATTATATGAACATGATTAAGAAGGGGATTCTCTAGGGTGGCATTTCTCAAAAGGTTGGCTATTCTGTTATGTTTTTGCTAGTATATTACACTTTAGTTTATTCCAAGAAAAGCCAAATAAGCAAGTCAAATAAACACAACTTGGGTTAGGTAAGTGCCTAGGATATGCAAACACCTCTATCCTCTTTAAAATATATTTCATCAACACAAGTGAATACACTTTGGTGAAGCCATATATTATAGGATGCAGTTCTGCCCCTGGCATCCAAACAGCAATAACAACAACTCACAATCAGAAAGATGCTGACTACAGAAATAGTATTTTAATGAGAAATACATAGGAGACTCCTACTCTCTCTCACTCTCCCTACAATCCAGTGTGCCTACTATGTGGAAAACCTTGGCTCAAGGCAGCGAATGTACTGAGGTGATGGTAAAGTTGCTCCCTGTGTTAAGAGGGAAACTTTAATGTAGTCTCTTATCCCTTTAAAACAGGTGTGCCAAGTGGTATTTTCTGCTAGGCTTAAAACCAAGTACTCATTTTAATAACTTCTTACAGAAGTCCTATGACAATTAGACCAAATTTCCTCCAACAACCCCATGCCACCCCTGATTTGCTTGTCTATACTCCTTCACCCTTTGCTCTACTATTAACATCACTGGTTTTACTGCTTGTGTTCAAAGTAAAAGCAATACCAGATTACAGTAACTCAACGACGCACTCCACAGCTTGGCCTCTGCTGAAGGGAAAAAAGGGAAAGCATGAAGGGCCTTCACGAGTTGAGATCAGGCACTACCGGAAGCTCAGCTTGTGTTTCAAAAACAGTTCCCGGCAGAGAAATCTTCCCTGTCTTGGAGCACAGGAAGGACTATTTCACGAACACTACTGTGTTTGCGCTTCTAGATGCTACCCAGGCCTCGAATACATCCCTAAGAGGAAAAAAGACACACAAACTTAGAATTACAACTATACATGATTATTTTAAACTCGGAAGTAGGTTCCCAGATAATTTCTTGCAGCTCCAGATAAGACAGTATTAACTTAGGACTATAAAAACAATGGGCTTAAAACTGAAGTCAAGGCACTATGGAATTTGAGATACAAATCCTTTTATTTTTCATGGATGTAACCAATTCTCAGGAAAATTTGAGAAGGGCACAAATTTTCAAAACTAATTTCCACTACCTCATCTTTAACATCTTACTGTGCAATTTCCACTTACTCATTGCTCTCCCTGCATTGCTTTAGTCTGATTGCACTGCAGACTGAAAAGCTAACATTCAGTCACAAGCAGCTTACTGTATAATCTATTTGCAAAGAGCATACATCGAGGTATATGGTAATTGGAAAGTATGAACTTCTAAGTAGGTTTTCGTTAGCTATATGGCAAATGTAAAGTTTATTTAAAGACAGAAATTTCCTAGTAGGCTTGCCAATACAAGAGCATTTCAAAAACGTCCTGGAGAAAGGAATTAGCTTATTTTGGTGTTTTAAAAAAATCTGAAATCCCATAGCTATTTTATATTTTATATAAACATTATCCATGAACTTTTTGAAGACCCTGCAAGTACATGTATGTAAGATGAAGTAACACTGGTCGCCATGTTTTCCAATACAATTTAGCAATACCAGGACTATAAGAATGAGAACTTGAAGCTTACCTGCAGTGCTTCACCACACACTCATTGCTGCAGTATTCATTATCCCAGTCCTTACTCACAACGGGAGGATTCTCACAGCCAGACCTCACACATCGAGGCTGGGGCGAGAGTGTCACTGGTGACCCACTCACCAATTCAACATCCATCTGAGTAGGAGATTCCACCTAAGAAAGGAAGAGAGTATCAAAGATGGGTTAGGCTGCAGCCTGCAGAGCCTTCCCTAAAAACAGTGAAGTTCTAAGTGAGTTACCAGTCTCTACTCCCCGCCCCTCAGCCCCCAATCCTGGTTTAGAGATTGACCTGAAGTCATCCTAACCAGAAAGCTCTAATTAACTCCCTCTTGATTTTGAGTTAACCCATCCCTGACTTTATTCCACACCTGAATAATACTCATCTGAAAGTCTCAAATCAAAAGTTGCCGATGAATGAATAGAGACTGAGTTACTGCCTCCAAACTAGACTGGGCAGGCCAAGCCAAAAGAAGACAAAATGCAGTACTGTCAGGAAAGGAGAAAGACTCCAAATTTCCTGGTAGCAGAGGGTTACTACTTCCTTTTAAACAAGTGCTTCAGATTGAGCATTGAGCACAACACCACTTGGGATGTTTGCATCCCATTTAGAGTGTCTGATTTCAAGTCCTGGTTCCTCCAGTTGCCAGCTAGACAGTTCCAGGTTCCTGGCTTTGGTCTGGCCCTGCTCTAATTACTATGGAATCTGGGAGGGAAACTGGCATATAGAAGTTCATGTTCTTTATGCCTTTCAAAGTAAAATGAAAGTTTTTTAAAAATTTAAGTGATTGTAGAACTCAAACCAGATTCATATGTTAGAATGATTACTTGTCGTGTACAAGTTAAAGAAAAACAATAATTTGCAGGCCCGGTGGCATGGTCTAGCAGCCAAAGTCCTCGCCTTGAGCCTGCTGGGATCCCATGTGGGTGCCGGTTCTGGTCCCAGCAGCTCCACTTCCCATCCAGCTCCTAGCTTGTGGCCTGGAAAAGCAGTCAAAGATGGCCTGATGCTTTGGGCCCCTGTACCCATGTGGGAGACCTGGAAGAAGTTGCTGGCTCTTGGCTCCGGATTGGCGCAGCACTGGTCACTGCACTCACTTGGGGAGTGAATCAATCGGATGGAAGATCTTCCTTTCTATCTGTCCTCTCTATATACCTGAATTTGTAATAAAAATAAATAAATTTTTTTTTTTTTTTAAGAAAACCAATAATTTGCATCTACCAAATGTCTCTTTTAAAAGACGGCAACAGGAACTGGTTTTTCTGGCTATGTCCCCCTTCCTATATTTTAAACATAACTAAACAGTGGAAACCTAGGAGGAACAAAAGGATATACATTTCTTAAGTTTAAGGTCTTGTCTTGTCTTTTTGGTACAACAGTAACACTGAACAGACTATAAGCTTTCTAGCTGACCTACAATGTTACCTTTTGAAAGAGTAATGGTGATGGACAGTAACTGAAGTGTCTGAAGATTATTTGCAAAGACAAATTCAGTGATTAAAGAAAAGCTAGAATTCTAAAAAAAAAAAAAAGAGTAGTGGTATGTTTGTGTAGGAAGGAGGATGACAGACACTATGGTGCAGCAAGTTAGGCTGGTACTTGGGATGACATTCTTATTAGAGTGGCAGCTTGTGTTCCAACTAATCTGCTTATTCAGCTTCCTGCTAATGAGCTTGGAAAGGAAACAGAAGATGGCCCTAGTGTTTGGGTCTTTATGTCACCTACATGGAAACTCCAAATTGAATTCTGGTTTCTTGCCCCAGGTCTGGCTTTTGCAGGCATTTGGGGAATGAAACAGCAGATAGAAGTTCTATCACTCTGCCTTTCAAGAGATCCAACGTAAAGTTACCACTGGTATCATGGGATGGGGGCAAGTCATTGTTACAGGGTGATGTGCACTCCTGGTTATCAAGCATTAAGTGCTACTATCTATCCCACTTTGACTGGGTTGACTAAGAATATACACATTCCCACTGACCTGGAGGAAAAGACTTAGAGCGGAGACTCACCTCAGGAACTACATCTGTGATCATCTCACATATTGTCTCTGGAGAGGTTGCCTCCACAGTGTGGGCCTCAGGACTGCTATTCATAGGCCGTTCAGGGCTACTTTCCACAGCCACTGGGACGAGGGTAGTCTGCATTTTCAGAGTAGGTGGAGGCACATTCTTGATCTGCAGAGGTGGCGGCTGTTGCTGTAGATTGATTCGAACTTTCTGAGGTGGTGGCTGTTGCATGGCCTGAAGCGGGGGTGGCTGTTGCAGGATAGTAACTTGCTGCTGAGTTGGGGGCTGAGGCATCTGCTGCAATGGAGGGGGCTGTAGCCGGGGTGGAGGCAGCTGCATAGAAGCAGCAGCTGCTGCTGCCGCCTGTAATACTGACCGAGTGACAATCTGGGCTTGCTGACTGGGCTGGATAGTAGCTGTGCTGGTTTGACCTAGTTGGAGCCCCCGGGATGTCACCACTGTGGCTGGGATGACTGTAACCATCCCTCCTTGAGACATTGTAATGGAAGAGGGCAACATCTGTTTAGTAATGATCAATTTAGTGATATTGGGCTGACCCCCAGCCCCAGAAGGTGCCTGGTTTGCCACATAGGATGAAAGAGTGGAATTAACAACAATGGAAGGGGACAGGGCAGGGGGTTCTGTTGAGGCTGGTGCTGGAGACGCTGGGTCAACAGTAGCCATTGGAGGCGGAGAAGGAGTCTGTGATGCTGGTGCTGGATCCAATTCCACTGTTTCCACAGTGGCCTAAAGGCAGGCCAGAAAAAATGTTACTGGGAGATTATCCTCCACCACAGGATAAATTCACTATATAATTAATTACATCCCAAGAACAGATACAGACTTTTAGAAAAGAACATCTGTGTAAGTACTATTCGGGTATAGGTAAACACTAGAAATAGTTAACATCAGAAAGTGAAACTAATAAGGCTAATATAACAAAAATAACAGGTCTGCTAAGTTTTTTCTTCAGCTCTTAATAGGTTCCACAGTTATCTGACGATACTCAATTCTCATAACAGCTAAACAAATAATTAAGAAAAACTTCCTAGTTGAAATAGCTAACCCTCTTACCTGACACTCTTGGTTGTCTTTATAAGCCGCTAGAGCCTT